AGAATGCAACGAAGTTTGTTCGACAAAATCATGAGTGTTATTTGCAACCATGATCCATACTTTGTGCAAAAAGAGGATGCTTTTCATGTTCAAGGTTTTCTTCCTAAGCAAAAAATTACGGCTGCCTTGCGAATGCTTGCATATAGAGCATCTGCAGATCAAGTGGATGAGACCGCAAGGATGGGAAAAACAACTGTCCTGGAGTCCCTGATGTGGTTTTGCTCTACAATTGAAGCACTCTACACCAATGAGTACCTCCAGAAACGCCAAGGGACATGCAAAGGCTTCTGAGGAAGGGTGAGATGTGAGACTTCCCTGGCATGATTGGAAGCATCGACTACATGCACTGGACTTGGAAAAACTGTCCAAGTGCGTGGCAAGGAGCTTATGGTGACAAAAAAGAAGCCAAAAGTATCATCTTGGATTACATGGATTTGGCATGCTTTTTTTGGTGTTCTAGGAGCTTAGAATGACCTAAATATCCTTGCCTAATCTCCAGTGTTCGACGAACTGCTGCAAGGAAAAGCACTGAGATTCACATATTGGGTTAATGGCCATAAATACGATGGACCATACTACCTTGCTGTAACGACCCGAAATTTCTAATTCGAAAGCCAAACACACAGGTAGGCCACAATAAAATAATGGTTAATTATAATTCTAACTAACCACACTAAAAAAAATAATAATAATCATTTTGGTTAATTTATGGCTGCATCTAACATCCTGGTTAGATTGCCTACGTACCCTAAATGAAGGAATCAAGCTATTCATAGTTCACTTTATGCTTCTAGAACAACATACTAAAATTTCATTCCGATGCAATGGTCGGATCTCGGGCAATCACGAAATCAAGTGGCGGTTAACGTTTTATTTTACAAACTTGAAAATCCAATTTGAGAAGATCTGTACATCGGATTCCCAATCTGTAAGTTCCTAAGGTCCTCAAATATTAAGTGTGATAAGATCTCACAGTTTGGTGATGATCCAACGGTCGGATCATCGATTCACAAATTGATCAAGTAAGGTATTGTAGTGAATTTAGGCTCAAACGATCAACCTACGTCATACGAATATCAAAACTGAAATCAAGTCATCTAATTTAGCCTATAAATAGTATCAACGGCCCTCTGGCCATGCGCCGCCGTGGATGGTGGTTGGTCGCCCCTACTCACTGGAAAATTTCAACTATTTCAAAAAAATCTCAAATTTTATAGAAATGAAGATCTCAAAGAGTAGAGCAAACTTTATACTTATGGTCAAGTCCAATTTGGCCGAAAAAGTCTCCAAATTGACTCGAACCCGTCGGAAACCCTTGATTTAGGTAGTTGTTGATTAGTCACCAAAATGAACTTCTTCGCCTTATCAAAGGCTTGGGCCTTGCTCCTGGGGTTGAGAAGAGTCCTTTGGTGGTTGTCATCGATGGTGAAGCTCGCTGGAGCCACCAGAAAAAGATTAAAGCTGCGGAACAAGTCATGGGCTTTGTGGCTTCGAACTGGAAAATGGGAAAGAAATTGAGAAATCTAACCCTACAGAGATGTAGGGCTCATCAAGGGCTTTCCATGGACACCAAGATCACCCAAAACAGAGTTCGTATGGAGGAGATATAAGTAGGTCAAGTTGGCGGGTAGGGTGGAGAAACCGGGTTGGCCAGTTCTCTCCTTCTCCCTTCCTTCCTTCCTTTCATTTCTTTTCTCCTTCATTGGCTGGTTCCCCCTCTTATTTCCCTTCTTTCTCTCCTTCCCTCTTCATCACAGGCACACACATGGCATCCCAGATTTGGCTCCAAAAATCTGGAGCCTTCTAGAAATGGTAAATTAACCATTTTGTCCTCGACTTCAATCGTTAATAACATCTTCGTTATAACTCTGTTTCACGAACGGTTTTCACCTACATGCTCGTAGGATCGCTCTATCCAAATATGTCAAGAAACATGACAAAATATATGAGGATAAAATACGTCCTCGTATAATTCAATTTAGCCAACTAGGGCATTTTCGTCTTTTCCACTTCCCGAAAAAATTTCCACATAATCATATATTTTAAATATTTCTAGGGTATTACACTTGCAGACGACATTTACCCAAGGTGGTCAACATTTGTCAAAACAGTCCCACATCCATAGAGTGAAAAAGAAAAACACTTCGCAAAATGTCAAAAGGGGTGTAGGAAGGATGTGGAGCGTTGCTTTGGTATTCTGCAAGCTCGTTGGGCGATTGTCAGGGCTGCTACTAGAATGTTTGATGTCAAGGCTCTTCGATCCATCATGATGATGTGTATTATTCTCCACAACATGATTGTGGAAGATGAGTATGATTATGATGCCGTCAATGAATACGAGCCGGATACGATGAACAACTTAAGAACCCGTATCTACTATGCTCATGCTCATGATCGGACATTACAATGAATTGATCATTAAGCATTACACTTCAGTGCAGGAGCCATATTGGCATATACGTCGCCATAATGACTTGATTGAGCACCAGTGGAGATTGCAACAACGTGCAGATAATTAAAATGAGCTTCTGGTTTAAGAATAAAGTGTATTTTTTTTAAGTTTATGTAATTTTATTTAGTGTTTTTTTTTAAGTTTATTTGGTGAGGTTATGTAATTTTATTGGGTGTTTTTTTTTTAAGTTTATTTGGTGAATTTATGTAATCTTATTTGATGTCATTAAATAAAGTTCCAAAAATAAATTTGAAATTACATAAAGTTTTTAAAATAAATAAGAAATTACACAAAGTACTAATAATAAATAAGAAATTACATCGATTAATAAAAATAAATAAGAAATTACATAAAGTACTAAAAATAAAGAAGAAATTACATAAAGTACTAAACATAAATACGAAATTATACAAAGTCTGTGGAGCTAGGATATGTGGTGCTAGGATCTTCGTTGCTAAGATCTGTGTAGCTAGAACCCCCTTAACTTGTTTCCGCATCTCTTGTACGCCTTATTCGCACCACGTCTCTTTTTTACGAAGTCCAGAAATATTTTGAATTTGGAGACAATCCTACTAGAGGCTTGTTCATAGTGTCACGATCTGCTTGAGTCATCCTTTCTTCTCTAAGCATCTCATTTTCTCGATTAAGTGCTTCTCTAATCATCTCGTTCTGTCGATTAAGTATTTCTCTTTGTCTCTTAAACGCCGCATCACGTCTCTCAATAGTTGCTAATATTGCTGCCATAGCAGTAGCTTTTTCCTCATCTCTAGCCGCTTCCCACGCCATGTTCAGTAACCTTGGCGAGCAAGTTCGTCCATATATTTAGTGTAGTCATTTTTGGAAGAACTACCTTTTATCTTTGATGCCTTTTTACCTTGAGGCCTGAGGGACTGACGAGTCGGTTGGGTTTCCGACACTTTTTCAGGCGTCTCTTCCGTCCCTTCAAATGTGTCGCCTTCTTGTTCGAGTGTATCTACCTCTGGCGAACTGTGTAGACCCATGTCGTGCATGACAACTTCTGGACCGGTTGCCACTATTTTGTATCTGGGGCAATCTTTGACAATTTGCCAACATTCCCATTTGCTGAATGATTTGTTCTGGTTCTTCGCATTGTAGAATGCTTATGCTTATAGTGTCTATAAATGTGGGATAAGACAGTATTATAAAATGCGAGTGTAACACAAATAAATAAATTTAAATATTGACGCGGGTGGAATGCATATAAATAAATAAAAATATTGTCACCTGATCCGCTAAATTTGTCCCACTACGCAGATTACCGGAAGCATGAGAGATGGCGTTTTTTCAACAAGTAAAGGATGCGTTGAGTTTTTTCCAACGACCTTGAAAACCTTGACTACTTCTGGCGTCTTTTCCATGTACATCGCAAAACACTGTCGTAATTTTACTTCACATTTCTCGCTTATCCATCTCATTACCCATAATTGGGTCATGAGTAGTGTGAACCCAGAATTCACACAAAGTAAGATCTTCGATGAGCTTCCACGTAGTCATTTTTTTCTCTAAAAAATTATATGAAAGCTTTGGTAAAAATTGTTGAAAATATTGAAATGTGGTGTAAGGTGGAATATGAAGGTTAGGTATTTATAGGAATTTTTTTTTATATTTTTTAACAATTTTTAATTAATTTTTTATCAATTTTAATTTAGGTAATTAATCTTGACCGTTGGATATGAAAAAGATTCAAATCCAATAGCATATACCTTGACATGTGGTCAACGGTCATAATTCTGACCGTTGTGCCTTTTTTTTTTAATTTTTGGTGTAAAAATGTGAACCGTTGATCTTTGGATCAGACCGTCCAGATCAATTTCAAATTCAAAATTTTTTTATCATTGGAAATCCAATGGCTGAGGACTGGCCATGTGGCCTCCTATCAGAATGGTTTAGTGCGCCTGGGCAAGCTGGCTCGCCTCTGTTTTGTTGTTAGCGACGTGCGCCTAGTCGCTCATCATTCCCATGCACCCAGCGCAAAAAAATAAATATAAAATGCTATCTGACATCACGCTGACGTCAGATAGGTCGTCTCTTCCCTCCGTTGATTATAAGCTGGCATGTGGCCTGGCTTGGGCTGGGTGCTAACTTAAAGGGTTGGGGTAGAGCAAATAAACAGGATGCCAGTCCATTTTTTCGACTGGGTGCCAACCTAAAGGGGTGGAACTGCTCTTAGAGCTGGTTTCTTAGGCTAGACTCGAGAGCATCCCATAGTTCGTCAAAGTTCTATTCTGCACACGATTTTAATGCATTTCCTTTTTGTAAGTTTGGAAGTTAGATTCTAGAATTATATTATCTACACTAAGGGAGAGGGAGTGGACTTAGCCTCACAATGAATTAGCAATAATGTGGTTTAAATTCACCTTTGATGAGTATCGAACCTTAGACCTTTCTTTTTATTTGATTACACACCTCTCTCACACAAAGCATGAGTAAGGGGAGATAGGGGGAAAATGAAAACTAACGAAAAATCCAAAAAAAACTTTAGTTTTAATGAAAAAGGACAAATAAAGGTGTAGTGAATAGTATCAAGGAAAGGTAAAAATGTGGTTTTTCGTTAAAAGTGAACAGTATCCGGAGTGTTTCGTCAAAACTCCAAAAAAAAAAGTAACCGTTACAATCTCACACGCTCAATATGCTTAGCAAGCTCACGTGCAATGCATGAGTACAAATTAAAATGCATTATTTGTTATGACAGCTGGTGCAATCCTAGCCTATGAGTTAGTCTAATCTCAACCGTTCATTTACATTTGAACTTGACAAAATTAAGAACGGAACTTGGAATTCTTCACTTCAATCCAGCCTTCCATCGACCTGCCTTCACTGCAATGGCTATCCACTTTTTGCAATCCACTTTCTGTTGCAATCCTTAAATGTCACAATCTTCACTAACGTACCTTTTCCAGTAGCTTGCACTAGTTCATCGTTTCCCATTTTCACCTTGAATGTCAAAAAATTTGTAAACATTGATCAGCAAGGATTCATGTGATATATGATTGCTACACCCATTGTCAATGTACCAAACACTACGGTTGTTTCACAACCTCTGCAGAATGGCAATCATAGAACATAAAAGCTTCATCTTCTACGTACTTAGTATAGTGAACAAGCTTATTCACCTTGCTCTGGTAGGCTCGGCTATATGACCAAATTTGTCACATCTATGACATTTAAGCTTGCCCTTGAACAAACAAGTGCCATAGTGTAACTTATCACTGTATTTGTGCACCTCGTTACCATTTTCCTTATTCCCATTGTGCTTAACAAAGGCACTTGGTCTGTCACCATTCTTAAACCCTTATTTCTTCTCCTTATTCTTCCACGATTTATTTCCCTTAGAACTGTTACCTTGTGAACCATCCTTAGGAGTTATATGTAGACTGCTAAAGGCCCTTTCAGTGACTTCACTTTCCTCAGCATGTCTAAGCAATCTCTACTCAAATCCTTTTAGAGTAGCTACAATCCCAGTATATTAATCTTATCTAGCTTCTTACTTCCCTCAATCACAGAAACTATATTATCATAGCTAGGAATAAGACAGATTGACAGTTTCTCAACTATTCTCTTATTTGACAACTCATCACCGTAGATCTTCATTTCGTAAATCAAATCAAACAATCTAGTCAAATAAGTAGATAAAATTTCATCATTTCGCATTCGAGCATATTAAAAATCTCTTCTAGTACCTTGTAGTTTCACATCTCGAACTTGCGAATCACCTCTGTATTCCTGCTGCAAGGTGTCCCAAGCAGTTTTAGCCGTCTCAGGATTTGCAATCATTGGGAAGATTTCATCAAACACTGCGCCTTGAATCAATCCCAGAGCTCTAGCATCTCGTGCAATAAGATCTTGAGTTGCAATCTGCTTCTTCTCAGTTAGTTCATTGCCTGTTTATTATTAACTCTGAGAAATATAGCTATGAGAAAATGAATAAGAAGAACAGAAGCTTAAGAGACGGAGAGTTTCTGAATTCTTTGTATTATTCTATATGAAACTATTACAAGTGTTTACATTGTGTTATATAGCCTCTCGGCATACATGGACTATTACAAAACTACCCCTTTGTAACTAACTCTCTAACAATCCAAATGGCAATTATAACCAATCAACAGAATAACAGATAACAATGGCTAATACTCCCCCCTCAAACTATGCTAGGTTTCATCTAGCACAGTTTGGAAAGACAAAACACAACTCTGTGCCATTGTACAAGGGAATTAACTCGGGACTGAAGTACTGGAAATTGCAGATTAGGATCCTAGGCTCAAGTTGTGACAATGCTTCACAAAAACAGGACTATGTAATCCTTTAGTTAGGACATCAGCAACTTGCTCTTCTGTAGAAATGTATTGAACACGCAGATCACCTTTTTGTACTTTCTCCCTCACAAAGTGATAATCAGTATCGAGATGTTTGATCTTAGAATGAAAAACAGGATTCAAACATAGAGCAAGTGCGGACAAGTTGTCACAATAAAGAGAAGGAGGTGAGGGAAGACACTGATGTAGATCTCTAAGCACTGATCTAATCCAACAAACATCAGCTGCACAGTGAGCTATTGCCTTATATTCTGCTTCGGTTGAGCTTCTCGAGACAGTGGATTGCTTTTTGGACTGCCATGAGATAGGATTAGAGCCTAAGTATACCACATATCCGGTAATTGATCTCCTAGTATTAATATCTGCTGCCCAGTCTGAATCTGAATAGGCAGCTATAGAGATATCTTCACTTTTAATATAGTTCAAACCACAAGTGAGAGTACCTTGTAAATACCTCAGAATTCTCTTGACCAAATGAAAGTGTGAATCTGTTGGACTTTGCATAAACTGACACACCATATTCACTGCATAAGCTATATCAGGTCTAGAGAAGGTTAAGTACTGTAAAGCTCCCACCAAGCTTCGATAGAGAGTAGGATCTGTCATTGGTATGCCTTCAGATTCAAGCAGTTGAGTATGAGGTTTAGAGGGTGTAGATGTAGGTTTACAATGTTCCATACCAGCCCTTTTCAACAAATCTCGTGCATATTTAGACTGGTTAATGAATATAGATCCATCCTGATTGTACTGGATATGAAGACCAAGAAAATAGGTAAGTTTTCCCATATCTTTAAGATCAAATACTGCAACAAGGCTTGTAATCATTGATTGAATCTTTGAAGCATTAAAACCAGTCACAATTATGTCATCAACATATAATAGGAGTAGAATAACATCCCCATGATCTTCTTTGACAAACAAACTTGTATCGGATAAGGATGTAACAAACCCCAAAGTAGGAAGGTAGCTAGTAAACTTTGAATTCCAAGCGCGTGGAGCTTGTTTCAAGCCATAAAGCGACTTTAGTAATCTGCAAACATGGTTTGGATGTTGTGAGTCAACAAACCCCTGAGGCTGCTTCATATAGACTTCCTCTTCTAACTCTCCATGTAAGAAGGCGTTTTTAACATCTAGTTGCCTCAAACACCAACCAAATTGAACTGCTAAGGCTAAAATCATTCTGATAGTGGTATGTCTTACCACCGGACTAAACGTTTCAGAATAGTCCAAACCTTGCTCTTGGCTATACCCTTGTGCAACTAGCCAAGCCTTATACCTAGAAATTGATCCATCAGGGTTCTTCTTAATTTTGTATACCCATTTGCTTCCCACTATACTTCTGTCAACTGGATGAGGAACTAAACACCAAGTTCCTTGTGCCTTTAAAGCATCAAACTCATCCTGCATAGCTCTTTGCCATTCAGCCTTGACACTAGCAGTTTTAAAATTTTTAAGCTCCTCTATATCAGCTATATCAGCTAAGAATGAAAACCCGCTGGAAAAATCATCCATAACCCCCAAAGAAGCAATCTCAGGAACAGTTGCTAAATATGCTGCATAATTCTTTCTGGAAAGTGCACCGGTTTGTAGCCTTGTCTGAATTGTAGAACTTTGACGCACAGGAGTAGTTGTGGTTGTATGTCCTATACCTGATGGAGAAGAATTTGAAGAGAGTGGAAGTATCACCTGAAGTTGGTCGGGACTAAAGACAGGAAGCAAAGAAGATGTATCACTTGTTATGGAAAGAGTATGGCCCGATGTACTGTGACTGTGCGAATGTCCTGAGGTTGAACTTAATGTCTCAGATTGATCAACTGAAGACGAAGCAATTCCATCATTCCCACTGTATATCTGAGTAACTTCAGGAGGACTAGGAGTATGAGTAACAGGAACATGAACCAAAATTGGAGAATATGTAGCCGGTGGATTATCAACCTGTGCATGAACTTGTTTCTGTAACCTGTGTTTACCAGGGAACATCATCTCATCGTGTAAGACATGTCGAGAAATAATGCATTTCTCGGACACTAGATCATAACATATGACACCTTTGTATCCTGAAGAGTACCCGAGAAAAACACATAATGTTGATCTTGGTTGAAGCTTATTAGAATTATAAGGCCTAAGCAAAGGAAACACAGCAGTTCCAAATGTCTTCAAAGATGTTAAGTCAGGAAGTGTCTTGTAGAGCAGAGTATAAGGAGATACCATAGACAGAGATTTACATGGCATTCGGTTGATAAGAAATACTGAGTGAGCACAAGCAAAATACCAAAACTCCAATGGTAAACCAGCATTAGTGAGTAATGTAATTGAAGTTTCAATTATATGCCGGTGTTTTCTCTCAGCAATTCCATTTTGCTGAGGAGTATATGGACATGACAGCATCTGAACAATCCCTCTATTATTCAAAAACTTTGTAAAAGCACTACTAATGTACTTTCCACCCCCATCAGTTTGTACACACTTGATTGTTGTTCCATACTGATTGAATACAAACTGATAAAACTTTACAAAAATAGAAAAGACATCAGATTTATTACTCATTGGAAATACCCAAGTGTATCTTGTATATTCATCAGTAAACAGTACATAATACCTATAGCCATCAACAGACTTTATAGGAGACGGTCCCCAAACATCAGAGTGAATCTTATCAAACGGAGACAGACACTTTTCATTTCTCTCAGGAAATGGCAATCTAGACATTTTGCCCTGTATACATGATGCACAAACACTCTTCATATCATCTGGTTTATATGTTATACTACACTGTCTTAACATACAAGAAAGTACTTCATTTGTAGGGTGACCCAATCTTTGATGCCACATATTTGACTTCACCAATTGTCCAAGCAAAGCTGTTGTAGTGGGAAATGTAGACTGCACCCCTTTAGCATTGTGAAACACTGGAATCTGAAACAACTCCTTGGGCCTACTCTTTCCGTGATACAGGACCTCCTTTGTCTTCTTGTCCTGTAAAAAGAAGTTGGACTCATCACAAATAAACCAACTGTTGTTATCAGCACATATTTGTTTAACAGATAACAAACTTCGAGCAATCTTTGGAACATGTAAAACATGAGTGAGTAATAAGGAATGATCCTTCGTATGAAGAGTAGTAGAACCAGTATTTTTTATTGATATACTAGAACCATTACCAATAGTAATTGTCTCATTGCCTTCATATGGAGCAACCTGTGCCAAGCCATGAACATCAGCAGTCATGTGATGAGAAGCACCAGAATCCACGATCCATGAATCTGTAGGCATAAACTGAGATGATTGTTGTGCATTCATAGCAGTTATGGAAGATGGAGGAGATTGACTTTGATACGAGTAGTTGCTTCTGTGATGACAGTTAAGAGCAACATGACCCTTCTTCCCACAAATTTGGCACTCGATCAAAAAACCAGGAGTTGAATTGGTGTTGTTCTTGTGAAAACAATTTACTGCTGTATGACCTCGTTTGTTGCAGATTTGACATGCAATTACTACATTCATCCTTGTGTCTGTATTGCCCGACCAACCACTGTTATTGGAGTTCTGCCTATATCCTCCATAATTGAAACTCTTCCCCTTGTAACCATTATTGGACCTATAATTGTGTTGACCCTTGGAATTCGAGCCATTGAAAGGTCTAAACCCAGAATTTGAACTTTGATTTCTTGTATCTGAATGAGAACCAGAATTTCCAAAGAAACCAAAACCATATGGTACAGGAGGATAAAATCCGTCAGGAGGTTGTTGTGTAGAATAGAACTGAGAGGACTGCATATTAGGTTGAAACTGTGATGACAATGGATACTGCAATGTCCCATTAAAAGGAACCCGTGACAAAACACCACCAGTAGAACCAGAAATGTGACTATGATTCTGTGGATTAGAAGAAGAACCATTGACCATTGAAGATCCAGGATTTGTACCAGTCCCTTTCACATACAAGGCTGACAAACTTTGAGACAACACATTGATTTCACCATCAATTTCCTTTTCAGCACCAAGAAGTTGTGCTCTGAACTCTTTGAGAGTAATTGATGACTCTCTAGC